CTAACCTTTATAGTTTTTCATTCTCTCTTATCTTCTTTCATTCTTACCCTCATAGTTTATTATTAACTAATGACAACTTTATATCCATAACAATACTTTTTTGTAATTAAATGATAATCCCAACTTTACCATAATTTTCCACTAATAATATTTTTTTTAATTGTGAGCATTATCTATATATTGGTGAACTTTTTGTGACCATAGGTAACTTTTTTTAGGATGAGCACTGGGAGTACTTATTCTCACCAAAAAAAAATCTATTGTCTATTAAAACGTTTTTTAAACTTTTTGTTTTCATTGGTTTATGACGGGAGTAGGTGGTTAGAAAATAATTGTGTTTACCAATAAAGTTTCTCACTTTTAGTCATAATGATTAAGTTGTGACGACTACTACTTTTTCTAGTGGAAATATTTTATAATATATTTCACTTTACTTATTCCTAATTTAAACATTGAAAGTTTAATTATTAAATCAGCTCATGATATGTTCACACATTAATCTTATTAATTAGGTATATTCAACATATATATCTTGAAAAAACATACTATCAGTAATATATATCCCTATGAAAAATTCTTCTGATCAGTTTTCTTTCATCATTTGTTTTGATCATAAATTACTTAGCACTTACATTCCTATACTATATTTTAATTAGGATCAAATTGAGTTTTTTTTTTTTTTTTTTTTTTTTGGGGGGGGGGGGGGGGGGGGGGTGGTACAAGGTAGGATAAAATTGAGTTAATGACCCAAACAAGTTGAAAACACTTGTACGTACACCAAAGTTCTGGTCAGTTCAAGTATGACGGCAAGAAAAACATGTTTTGGTAACAAATTAATTTGGTAAAAGTTTAATAAAATTGTCATTATTAAGAAGAATCACACGTTTTGGTGATAATTGATTTAGCTATATCTTAATAAATAACAAATCTCCTGTTACTTCTTCTCTTTGATGTCAATTTGTGAATTTTTAATTTGTGTTTACTCACAAACTAGGGTCGACGCATTATATGTGTATAATCAAGTAAATAATTTGAATCCATCCCTACTTGTGTACCTGTATGTTTTCCATGGCATCTTTACTATTAAAGTTAATATATATATATGGTGATAGATGATTCACTGTAATATATATATATATATGTATATATGTAGATAATAAAGAATAAAGTTACGGGTGAAAATATAATATATCATGTGATTGTACGGAGGTAATAGGTATATATATTGCTAATTAGTCCGGATAAAGTAAAACAAAAGGATAAAGAAATTAATCAACTTGTAGTAAAATTGATTTGGATGATTGTTTGATTTGGATTCCCTTAGGTCCGGAGAAGATGCGTACGTATGAGGTGTTATGAGATTTCTCGTGTTAAAGTTGCTCCTAATATTAGTTGGGATAGTAAAATTTGGGCACAATATATTTCCCCTCGTTTTTCCTTTCTTGTTTGCAAGTTGTTGTATGAGAAGCTACACGTGGATCTCATTCTAAGGACTTTTGGTGCGCAAGTTGTTTGAAATGTCCTTATTCTCTTGGCCTTTGGAATTGGATTATGTTGATTTTAAATTATAAAGTTTCATGTACCAATGGCATCGGCGATTTATGCATTTCTATTTTCAGAGCTCATTTTAGTCCTTTGGTCAAGAAACTTTGGATCCTTACTTTTATGGCTAGTTGTTGGTTTGTTTGGGATCTTAGGAATTAGGTGCGGTTTGAAGGGGCTAGTGTGAATGCGTTGGCAGCCTGCACTTAAATTCTTGGTTATCTCCGGCAGTTCAAGTTTTTCAACTTGGGTCTTATAATTTTGTTTCCGAGATTAATATCTTCAAGAAATTACATGTTTCTCAGTTTTTGCCTCGAAGTCCTAAGATTTTTCCAATTTATTGGATTTCTCTTCCATCTGGATGAGTGAAGGTAAACACTGATAGTTCGGTGAGAGAAGTCCCTGACTTGATTGCTTGTGGTCAAATTTTTAGGAATGCTAGGAGCTTTGTTTTTTAGTGTTTTTCTTGGAGAAGGTTTTTCTTTTGAAGCTGAATGTTGACTGTAATTAATGTCATTTCTATTGCGTATGAGAATGGTTGGCTAAAAATTGTACTTGACAGTGATTTTTTTTTTAATCATTTCTCTTTTGAGTTTGAAATCTTTTCAGGTGCCTTGGAGATTGTGCAATGAATGGAGCAGGGTTCTTTCTTTGTCCAGAGGATGAATTTTCATTTTTCTCGTGTGTTTTGTGAAGTTAATTGGTGTGCTGATAAACTTACTAATCTCATAATCATTAATCTCATAATCATTAATTGTAATAAAATGTGGTGGTCTCATTATTCTTTTTTTTTAGAATTTTATGTGTATGGAGATTATATTGGTTTTTTTTTTCTACAGATTTACTTGATTTTTGTGGCGGTTGTAAAGCATTTTTTTCTCTTCATTAACAATGTGAACCTGAATTGAGGCATTATTCCTTTAAAAAACTCAACTTGCAGTAAGCGACAAGTTGTTTTCAAGCAGCTTAATTAACGTAGTGGTAATTCCACACCTATCTACATGGTTGATATTTAATTCAGTTTAAATCTCCACTAGTTATGAAAAGAGGTGTCACTTCTCAGCCTTAAATATTAAAAGATGTTGGGTTATATGATAAGACCCCACACAGATTAATAATTACTAATAATCCTTATATATGTGTTAAATTATACTGTGTAGATAAAATCTCATAGATATGCTATAAAATCTCTTAGATATGCTATAATACATGTAATGAGAGTGATTAAGGCCTTTTTAAAAATAATTATTACGTAATTTTGTAATATAAAAATACTACTACTATTATAATCATTGCATAATGTTTATTATTCTTGAAATATTTTTAAAAAAATTTTATTTTTCGTTTCTTATAAATTTGAAATGTAGGTTTTTTTTTTTTTTTTTTTTTCGCTCAATATAAATGTAATGTAGTTAAATTTATTAACAATTAACAATTCCTCAAACTTGCATGAGAGGATGAGGAAAGTGAGCCACAGGTAATGAATAAAAGAGACAAATACCTTTAAAATGCATGAGTCTTGATTTTTATCCCTTACTCTTGATTAATACCTTTTAATTAAAGAATTAAAAGGGTCTTAAAGAATTAAAGAATGCATGGGTCTTAGGCCTACCTTCTTTATGCATAGTTTGGGGATATTGTAAAATTAATTACGAATATATTAATTAAAAACTTCTCATAAACAAGCAGGTAAAAATAATTTTTTCTATTTTTAAAAGTTGTAGTTAGATGCAAACATAATTTGATTTTCTTTGCAAATATCACTACATGGTCAAAATTGTGGTGTGTAATATTAATTTTATCAAGGAATAGTTTTTCATATTCCAACAACCGAAGAATTGTGAACCAACATATGATGTCCTTCATTCCGGGAAAAAAAATTATTATTATTGGTGTCACTGAACTTTAATATTCTTTCTAATTTTAATCTCCAAATTTTGAAAATTCTCATTTTATCTCATGAATTTTAAATTGTTCTCACTTAATCTCTTCTATTGTAATTTATCCTAAAAATAAATAGAAAAATGAGAGTGATGTAGTCACAAGGTCTTTTTAGTTGAATTTCTATTAAAAACACACAAGATAAATCTTCAAAAAAATAAATAAGATAAAAACCACATGTCCACATTTAACCCTCGCTTTTGTTGTTTGATTTTAATATAAATTCTTATAAAACGGCTTCTTAAATAAGACAACTTTAAAATTCATGAGGCAAAATGAGAATTTTCAAAGTTTAGGAGGCAAAATGAAAATGATCTCAAAATTCAAGAGCACTAATGAGATTAAACCAAAAAAAAAGAAAAGAAGAAAAAATATGTTAGTACCGGTTTGAGTCTTTTAAAACTTTATAAGACAATATGAATAATGCAGAAACATAAAATAAAAGAACACGAGAGTGATGGTATCGCAGTTCGGTAACACCCTACTCCACGAGGCCACACCCAGATGATGAACAATCCACTAAGAACTCTTTAACAATTTAATTGGACTTAATCTACCCTAGACTCCCTCTCTAAGAAAACGCCTATGAACTTGCAATTTCCCAATGGACTTGAACATCGAGATCCCCTCGACTTTTGAACATTGGAATCCCCCCAACTAAGTTTTTCTCTCGAAAAACACTCAAGTTATCTCTCTTGAATACAAGTGCTCACCACTATGTCAGAACCCAACAAAAACTCATCAAAAGGCGTATCAAGACTTAAGGGATACTTTCAATAAATAAGCAAGCCGTGAATAGCTTGATACATCTTTAATTAATTCGCTGAACCAAATTTGTTGCATATCCTTATTGTAACAATAACTGCAACATAGTTGTCACGGTCAACTTTCTCAAAACCAGACGAATCAATATCCTTTTATTCTGAAATCTTCCCAAAACTGATAAACGAACTTGGACACGTTCTTAGGCGACATAGGAAGATCATTCAGCTATCAAATCTCAATCAAGAATCAATCAAATCAATTTTCCATCTTTGAATCAATAGTTGACTTACAAAAATAGATGTTAAAAGATGTTGGGTTATATGATAAGACCCACACAGATTAATAATTACTAATAATTCCTATATATGTGTTAAATTATACTTGTGTTCATTTAAAAAAAAAAAAATTATACATGTGTTAAATATGCAGCGTTATACAAAATATATATAGAAAACTATGAAATTTGGTAGGTTGGTAATTTTATTCTTTATGACAGAATCTGAACTATTGACAGTCGATTTTTGTTTTTCAAAGATTCAGTAGATAGCTAGATAAGATTAAGGTCTCTATCGAAAATGTAGAGTTCAATATTTTAATCACTAACATTTATAACGTGAAACATGTACCTAGGCATCATGCAAAAAAAAAAAAATGTATCTGGGCAATAATAGTTGCCTAGCTCGATGTCGTACACACGAAAATCTTTCTCTATATATTTACATTACATATTCACAGCTCAAGATATACATAACTCAAAATAATACCAAAGAGCACCAACAATAACATGGAGAAAGTAGTGAGAAACTCTGGGCATGATCTTGAAATACATTCCACTGAGCTAGTTAAAGCTCAAGCCCACATTTGGAACTATATCTTCAACTTCATAAACTCCATGTCCCTCAAATGTGCCGTTCAATTAGGTATACCAGATGCCATCCATAGTCATGGCAAACCCATGACTCTTTCCCAACTCATATCCGCCTTGCCAATCCACCAAAACAAAAAGTCTGATTCTCGTTTGATCTACCGCCTCATGCGCATCTTGGTCAACTCCGGCTTTTTTGTTCTCCAAGAAGTTGTCGTTGGGGAAACCGACCTATTAGAAGAAGGTTATGTCCTCACAACTGCTTCCAAATTACTTCTTAGGGACAATCCCTTGAGTGTCACACCCTTATTGTTGTCTATGCTTGACCCTATTATGACTAAGCCTTGGCATTCTCTTAGCACTTGGCTCCAAAGTGATGACCCTACTCCATTTGCCGCAACACATGGGATGGGAATTTGGGACTACAATGAGTATGATCCCAGGCTGGGAAATTTGTTCAATGAGGCCATGGCTAGTGACGCGCGATTGGTCACGAGCGTGCTAATCGATAAGTGCAAATCCGTGTTGGAGGGATTGGAATCCTTGGTTGATCTTGCAGGAGGAACTGGGACGGTGGCCAAGGCCATTGCATATGCATTTCCTCATTTAGCATGCACTGTGTTTGATCTGCCCCATGTTATTGCTGATTTGCAGGGAAGTAAGAACTTGAAATTTGTTGGTGGGGACATGTTTGATGAAATTCCTCCAGCAGATGCAATTTTCATGAAGGTAAGAAATATATATATATATATACATATATTCTCATATAACTCTTGGTAGTAGTTAACATTCATATATACAACAATTAATATTAGGCTTTTAAGACGATAATTAATTATTCTTGTGTCTGAAAATTGCTTAGGTTCACATAGGAGTTGAGCAACATCACCAATATAAATTAGTAGGCTCTCACTTCAAAATATATATATATATATATATATATCTATATATAAAGTACGCTCTATATTTGGGTCTTATGTTGTATGTTTCACTTAATATATGACGCTTAGTTATATTGGTTCCTTTTAGTATTGCTCAATTGTCTTTACTTCAAAAGCATGAATCATAATTCTAAAACTACTTAACAATAAATTAAGCCTAGGCTAGGGCTGGCCAACTAAATTTGTTAGATTTTCATGCATTGAAATTATATAGATGTGTTTGCAAGAGTCCTATATAAAAGTCTACTTATATGAAAGCCTTGTTTGGTACTACATCTAACAGATACTCATGTATTTGTGTGTTTTTATTTACAACCACAAAATAATATTAATCTGACTATCTATTTAACAAAATAGTGGATATTGCATGACTGGAGTGATGAAGACTGTGTAAAATTACTGGAGCGATGCAAAGTGGCAATTACATGCAAAGGCAACAAAAATGGGAAAGTGATTTTAGTAGACATGGTCATTGTGGAGGAGCAAAACAACAAGGACATTGGTCATGATCATCATGCTCATGATCATGATCATCAGTCGTACGAAACTCAACTCTTCTTTGATATGTTGATGATGGTGTTATACCCTGGCCGAGAGAGGAAAGAGACAGAGTGGGCTAAGCTCTTTTCTGATGCAGGGTTTAACACTTATAAGATAACTCCTATTTTGGGTGTTAGATCCCTCATTGAAGTTTTTCCGTAAAATAATAATATATATAAATAAATAAAAAATACTTTTCCAGGTGACTCAACATGAGGCCAATAGATGAGACCTACTTTTTATAATTAGTTGTGTTGGTTAGCACTAGTAGGGCTCTGAGCGTTGCGAAATATTAAAGCTTTATTATACAGTTTGAGTCGTAACTAATTACCACTAGTAATGTTATTTTCAATATGAATAAGTGATAAACTGGCTTTTCCCCCGGGGCCCTTGAAGCTTTATTAGTAATGTTGTGATGATCTATCCATATATGTGTGCAATATGTATTTTATAAAAACAAAGGATTGTTAGTGTATTCTATCAAGTATAAATTTAACTTGATAGAGCAAAATAAATTAGCAATATTATTCTATTCAATATTTCTTGTTTTCTTGTTTCAAGTTCAAGACTCAAGTTAATTTGACTCTTTATTTTATATGTAAGAAAAAGAATACTCCCCACGAAAAAAAGAAAGAATAAAACAAGTTTCATTACACGTGGTAAAACTAAAACGGGACTTGTTAATAATGGTGATTAAAATTAAATTAAATTAGAATGGTGATTAAAATTAAATTAAATTAGAATGGTGATTAAAATTAAATTAAATTAGAATGGTTATTAAAATTAAATTAAATTAGAGGAGTACTATAATAATTTCACTCTTATAATTAAATCTCTTGGAATTTTGATACCTCTACCTTCATGTTAGTTTTTTTTTTGTTTTTTTGTTTTTTGTTTTGTTTTTTGTTTTTATGGTAATTAAACAAAGAATTAGAACACCACGTTTGCTGTCTCTGTCTACCTCTGTTTCCTTCTTCGTTCCTTCTCTCTCTTTCTTTCCTTATTCCTTTTTCTTCTTCCTTTAATTTCTTTTTTCCTTTTGGGTAATTTGCATAAATATTCCGTAACATTCCGTTGATTGACAAATTAAAATCCAAAAAATTAATTATTTATTTTTTTCTCGTTTTAAGATTCTGATTGTTAAAATTAAGAGTTTGAGATCAAGTGACGAAAAAAGCGAGTTTTGAAAATCTTCTTTGTGCTTTGTTTGAATTGAAAAAGAGTTTTTGACCAATTTTCGTTTAATTTTGAAAATCCATTAATCACCCTCATTAATCACTCTCATTACTTTTATACGTACTGCAATGTATCAAGTGTTTTATGTATCAACATTGAGTTAAATCTAAACTGTAATGTATGTTATCTGATCTAATTCTACTTCTTGGCAAACTTTTCATCATAGTCTAGCTTTTTACTTATATTTAATTTTCTTTGCTTCCAATAAGTAAGTCCTAACACTCTCTTAAGTTTAATCTTAATGAGTTTTGACCATTATGAATTTATGATCATGAAAAGTGTAGCTATTGCTATATCTCTCTTGTTAAGTGGCCGGTACTTAATTAATTATCTATTTATCTGCCTAGAATAAACTTCTTATACTGAAATTTTAGATTTTCAACTTCATTTTCACGTCTTATCTAGCTCCATGACTTATTTAATATAAAATAACATTACTAATAGAAATAGTCTGTGTCCCAAGTCGTGAGACACGGATACAAATTAGGTGGGACCTCACCTTTTGACTCGTCACGACTGAGTCTGTATAATAAAATTTTTATTATTAAATAATATTAAAAATATTAAAAATATTAATGATGTTGAACATTACAGACTAATATGAAGTGCGTCTCATAATATAAGCCACATATATGAAATCCACCTTTTAAAATTAGTTGTGGTGTTAATTAGCACAGATGGTGCGGCCTCAAGCATTATGGAAAAACTTCAATGAGAGATCAAACACCCAAAATGATAGTTATCTTATAAGTAGTAAAACCTGCATCAGAAAAGAGCTTAGCCCATTCTTTCTCTTTCATCTCTCGGCCAGGAAGCAAAACCATCATCAACATATCAAAAATGAGTTGGGTTTTATATAGCTGATCATCATGATCACGATCACGATCACGATCAATATCCTTATTCTTTTATTTCTGCAGAACGACCATGTCTACTATAATCACCTTACGTTTTGCCTTTGCATGTAATTGCCTCTTTGCGTCGCTTTAGAATTCAACGATTCGAGTTTTGCTACAGTAAAAAGTATTTAAAAACAATCACATTTAACTTTTGTGCTACAGTAAAAAGTTATCACATAAAGTCACATCTCAGCTCGAATTGAAAACTCGAATCGGCGAACTGAACGAGGTTCCACGTACTCTTCATCACTCCAGTCATGCAGTATCGACTTCTTTGTTAAACAGGCAATCATCAATTAATATTTGATTATCACGATTAGTACCATTCATAGAATCATATTTATATGTAGGACTCAGTACAAACACACACACACATGTAAATGAAAAGTAGGGCTTTTATCAATAGTGCTATTCCTAAATATATAGGATCTAGTCAAAATTAAATAATATATATATAGATGACAGCTTATAGCTATAGTATATATATACACATACGTACACACACAATTTAAATACATGAAAAACTAACAAAATTTATTGGCCAGCCCTATCTAGTTAGGCTTAATTGTTTTATAGTTTAGGATCATCCACAATTCATGCTTTTAAAATAAAGACACAACACACTAATAGATGAAGGCTCGTAGACTCTCCCAAGCATTTTTTTAGACATATTCATAAAGTCCTTGGTAAAATTGATTAAATGAATTATATTTAAAAGCATTCATTATCATGAAGTGCAATTAATTATATATATATAAGATCTTCTCAAAAGACTAATACTAATCAATGTATATGAATATTAGTACAGATCAACAATATTTATAAGAGTGCATATATTTGTTACCTTCATGAAAGTTGCATCTGCTTGAGGAATTTCATCAAACATGTCCCCACAAACAAATTTCAAGTTCTTACTTCCCTGCAAATCAGTACATGTGCGGAAATAAATCCGCAATGGCCTTGGCCACTGTCCCAGTGCAACCTGCAAGATCATATACCTTTTAATTAAAGAATTAAAAGGGTCTTAAAGAATTAAAGAATGCATGGGCCTTAGGCCTACCTTCTTTATGCATAGTTTGGGGATATTGCAAAATTAATTACGAATATATTAATTAAAAAATTCTCATAAACATGCAGGTAAAAATAATTTTTTTCTATTTTTAAAAGTTGTAGATAGATGCAATAGAATTTGATTTTCTTTGCAAATATCACTACATGGTCAAAATTGTGGCGTGTAATATTAATTTTATCAAGGAATAGTTTTTCATATTCCAACAACCGAACCATTGTGAACCAACATATGATGTCCTTCATTCCGGGAAAAAAAAATTATTATTATTGGTGTCGCTGAACTTTAATATTCTTTCTAATTTTAATCTCAAAATTTTAAAAATTCTCACTTTATCTCATAAATTTTAAATTGTTCACTTAACCTCTTTTATTGTAATTTTTTCTAAAAATAAATAAAAAAATGAGAGTGATGTAGTCACATGGTCTTTTTAGTTGAATTTCTATTAAAAACACACAAGATAAATCTTCAAAAAAACAAATTAGATAAAAAGCACATGCCCACATTTGACCCCCATTTTTGTTGGTTGATTTTAATAGAAATTCTTATAAAACGGCTTCTTAAATAAGACAACTTTAAAATTCATGAGAAGAAATGAGAATTTTCAAAGTTTAGGAGGCAAAGTGAAAATGATCTCAAAATTTAGGAGTACTAATGAGATTAATTCCAAAAAAAAAAA